AACATCCTCAGATACCCAAGCCTTGTCATATGGTTAAGGAATTTCAGCAAGTGTTCTTTCAACTGCCTTCTGAATAAAATCCTAAGATGTATTAACATGGCACGTAAGACTCCTGACTGTTTTGTGGAATCAAGCATGAGCTTTTAAACCATCACATTTAGAATACATTGGATCAGAGCTAATAAACAGGCTGACAATGAAGACTGCACCTATTAGTCCTCATTTACATTACACATTTTACAGAACATCACTGAAACAATGACAGCAAAATGATCAGTTGTGCCAGACCCTTGGACAGATCATTTTAGCCAGGTTTGTTGGATTCCAAAGCCCGGTGGGAGAAAAGCAAGCAAACAAAAAAATCCCACTCAACAAAAAGAAACAAAAAGCCACAAACACAACCCAGGAAAGATCAATAGCTGTCCTTCCTCATAATCAAGGCTATCAGAAGATAAATAACAATAAATTCCTAGACTACAATGAATTTTTAGAAAATATTGATTGCGTAAAGAGTAAAATCCAGAAATTGAAGTGGTATTAAAGATGATTAATAAACTTAAAACACTCTTTGTTGTTCCCACAATTCAAGAAAACATATATTTTAGTGCTCAAAAGAGAAAAGTAGAAGCAAAAGCTATCCAAGCTTTGAAATAGCTAACTATTAGTACCTACTGATCCCTAAACAATATACAAAATTGTTATTATTTACATATTTTATACTATTATTTTATTATATATAATATATTGTTTAGTATGTAATAAGATATTACATCTGTATGTTGTAAGTAAGTAAAAACAAAAAAAATCTGTCTTACAGAAAATTTTATTTTAAAAGTATATTTTAAGTCTCATAAAGTTTCCTTTTAAAAAAAGAAAAAATAAAGTACTGTACAGGTGTCAGATGTACCTCCACAGTGAAGACTGAATTCACTATTCAGTGCATGATCCATCATGTTTTTTAGTCATAGGAATTTTCACAATTCCCTAGAATGTAACATGAACCTTCTAGTTTACAAATAAATCCATTCCAATGGAAGATCCCATTTTGGAAGGTATAACCAAAAATTTGCAATATTAAACACTATAGATAATCCACGTATTTATTTTCTGAAGCTTTTTACAGTTTCATACTGCATTATAAGTTTGACTCAAGGGGAAGTTCCAAATTCTTGTGCCTTTGGAGTTCTGCAGGCTGTTGCTACATGAACTTCTGGGCCCTACGTGCCTTTTCTCATGCATGCCTGGCAAACCGCAAACTAGAGCAAGTTCTTTAGCCTAAAGATTGTGATAACATTAAAACAAATCCAGCATTCTCTTCAAAAGTCTTGCTAAAAGGAAAAGAACAAGACTTAGCTATTGTAAAGCAAAACAATGCATTCAGACCCCACTGCCCATATGTTCACAGAATGTCTCAAGCTCCCTTCACGATCCCACTTTTGGGAATCTCTGCCTCTCCCTGGGCAAAGCAGGGAGTTCACAAGCATGGGCAACCTCCTGCCAGTCACTCACACACACTTAAGGTATAGGATCCTTTGATCCTTTTTTCCAGAAACAAGAGGAGGTGGGGAAGAAATCTCACTCTTAACTGTTCTGTTTCCTTTTTATCTTCTGATATCACAAGCCTTTTCTTCCCTTTCCATATCCTTCTCTATCATGTACAATGTTTCCTCTGATAGGCTTTATGTTTGCCATTGCTCCTTTCTGAAGCATTACCAAGCAACAGAAATGTTACGATGTAACAATGTTTTTTTTTTAGTGCAAACAATATGTATTTTCTAAGGTCTGCAAAAAGATAAAAAGTTGCCTTAACTCTAAAAGTTAGCCCTCAAAAAATAAAACCTTTCCCTTTACAAGATTCCAGAAATAAATGCTAAAGAAAACATCATTTTCTTATTATTTTCACTGGAGAGATTCAGTGACAATCAGAGAGAGTCACCACTTCCTACTATTTCAACTTTGGCATATTTTTGCTTCTACTTCCTGAAAAGAGATTCCACTTTCCCCAAAGACGCATCTTCCTTCCCAAAGTGAGACAAGTAAGACAGTGACTATTCTGAAGTGGCTGAATTATGAGCCTTCTATTAAGAACAAAAATGGTTGGGTGTTAGGAAAATAAAAAACTTCACAAATACAATTAGAAGAATATCATTATTAAATTATATGTGTCCTAAAAGTCACTGCTCTGTCCTATCTGCAAAACATCATATATATACACACAGAGCAGTGCCCAGTATTTGTAACAGAGCACATCACATGCTATCACACAGAGGCACTCAAGTGTTCCTTCCCTATCACAGACCCAATCTACATGCCTATCAAGTGATGTTTTTCCAGCAATTACTATTTGGTCATACAACAGAGGAATTTCAGGGCTCTAAGTCTATGAGATAAAAAGCTAAAATTAAACCTGACCCTACATATCAAAGCCACCACTGTAATTTCAAAGTTGAAGAGAAGTCAAGCTGTGGTATGATAGGGTTAACAATCAGCTGGTCTACGCAGAAACAGCACTGCATATGCCCTAACTTAAGGCATTTTCATATGCCTCCATACTTGCTTGGAGCTAACAACAATCATCTTTTTCATTCTTTAAGATCCTCATTTTATCTTAAATTCAAATTCTAAAGTATGTTCACTTACTCACTTGACCATAATAAAAGCCTGTCCCTAACTCATTTAACACTTTTAAAGCAATCTCAAGACCATGTAATTGCAAATGTAAAGTGTAACTGTGGGTTTACCTGCATTCAGCTGATTTGAATTAGTCAGCTTGTTACCGTGGGGTTCAAGTAACTGCTTCCAAAATATGAACAGATACTCCCTTCTCAAAGAAGCCACTATTTCTGCAACAATAGTAAATTCTTTCAAAGCACTCTGGAGACTAACCTCTTTTTCATCTGCCAACTGACAGCTACTTTCAATCTGTAATTCTAAATTATTAAATTACTCATGGAGCTAGCAGCATCAAAGAAAGAACACAGAGCTGAGGGAAACGCTGGAATCTAAACAAATTGCACAATAAAGGATATTCATTATATAGAATATATTTAGGAACAACAAAGATCCGCTTGCTCCAAATTCTAGTTTTTGCCTGTCCTCTCACTCTTTTTCCCAAAATGAAGCAAAATTAAATAATCATCCTGCATGTGCTTTAAAGATGTGGTGGGCTGACCCTAGTCAGCAGCTAAGCATCCACACAAGCAGACCCAGTACGAAAAAACCTTTGAACATCCAAAGTATCCTATACCTTTATGTATTTCTGTATCAACAGAAGCTGACCACAACTTTTCTCCTCAAATTATTGTATCTCTGTGCACTGTACAGAGAAGTCCCGAGCCAGTATCTCCATACGTCTTGCATAGCAATGACACTATTGACACCTTCGGGAGTAGGAGTCTCCCAGGAGTACATGACAGAGCAGCTCCCTCCTCCACCCTGGTGCTCCAGAAATAGACAAGTCATTGCTAGAAAGCATTTTTCAGAAAGCAGAGTATTCTAAACTGAATATGGAGACGAGAACAAGGAGGGGAGTAGCAACTTATTCCTACTAAATTGAATTTCAGAAGCTTAGAAGACAAACAAGGTTGAGAATTTTTAAAATAAAAATGAGAGTTGGTACTTCATACAGCTATATATGTGATCTGGATTAAAATCGAAGTGGCTTATTATGCTACATTGTTTATTCCTCAAACTATCTTTAAATAACAACCCCTCAGGGATACGTGTTCTCAACCTTTATAAAAGTAATATAGTAAAAAGAGACATAGTTATGCAAATATATTGAATAAATGCATCCCATTTCCTTTCCCCTTACCTTTTCCACACTTAAACGTAGCAACACCTATCGAGACAACTATGTTTTCCAGCAGCTCCTCCTTGAAAGAGGGAAACTACAGTCCCTTCGATTTCTGTAGCTATCAAGAGACCGCCTTTTTCTTTTTTTTTTCCTTCCCTCCTCCTCCTCACCCCGCCAAGCAGCGGTGATAGCCGTGCTCCCCTGGGGCAGCTCCCCGACCCCAGGGCCGAGGGACAGCACGGCACCGAGGGGACTCAGCACCAGCACCTGCCTTTGCATCGGCCCTCGAGAATGTCCAATACATTAACCCGGCGAGCAGCCCTGCCAAACTTTTGCAGTGAACGGCATCATGTGCTCACTCTCACTTCAGCATGGAGAAAAAGATGATGACAGAAAAGGAGTGAAGGACACGACTTAACAGCACCTTCATTGTTAATCAATACAGAGAATATACGTTCTGATTGTGTTTTACGCGCTCTTCTAAACTGACGTTAAAATTTAGATTTACTGCAGTGTTCAAGTTGCCTGGAAACTTCTGAGAAGGAGAGAATCCCTACTAAAAAGAAATAAAGCTCTTCCCCAACACAACAACCTACAACGGAGGATTTCTGTTGAATCTTTAAAGGTCATACATATTTCACATGTTGAACTACTTATCCTGAGGGTCGTCAAGTAACTACCGAGCTACAAGAAATCCTTGGACTGAAAACCCAGATAACTCCGTGGTTACGTGCTGGCACATTCCCCTCCCTACAATTCCGGCATTTCACCGAGGTCAGAGAAAAGCTGTCACATAAAACGACTTCATTTAGGACTGGAACAAACCGCCCCCTCAGCATAGCTATAGAAGTCGATCAAACATACACAACCTACACAAAAATAACTCTCTTTATAAGAGAGTGTGGCTACCCTTTATCTCCTTCAAAAGCGTCAAATACCACCAGGAAGTGGGACAGGGAAGCCAGGCATGGAGCAGAAGTCGAAGTGAACTACTTTTCTCAGAAATAAGAGAAGGCCCCCTCCCCGCCCCCATCGTACGCGCTCCTGCCCTTATATTCCAGCTCATCCTCTTTTTCCCCCCTGCCACTGAGATTTCCCCACCGGCCCCACCAACTCCGTTCGCTCCCTGCTCAGCCGTGCCCTCCTTGGCGCGGGCCGCCCGTGCCCCTCCGCCCCCGCGCGACCCCCGGGCCCGCCCGCTCACCGTTCCTCAGCTCGTGCTTCACCGTGAGGAGCGGCAGCTCTGCTTCCCCCGAGGCTCCCTCCATGTCCTCACGGGCGGCTCCCCCGCCCCTGCCGCTCCCGTGAGTGCGAGCGCGGCGGCGGGGGGATGTCACCTGGCCCGAGACGGCTTCTATTTTCCAGGGGCGCTCCGGGGCACAGGAGCCATGCAGGCGCGCTGGGGTCTGCCGCTCTCCCCTCCGCCTTCTTGGAAGACGGGGTGGGAGGTGGGGGCGGAGGTTGGGGCAGAAAACCCCAAACCTACACCGCCCAACAACAAACAGTTATTAAAATCTAGGGAGGCACACGCACGACGGCTTCCCTCCCCAGGCGCTCAGAACCAGCCCATGTCCTTGCGCCTCCCCTCCCCCGGGCTCCGGCCGCCCTCCCCGCCCGACAGCGGGGAGCGGAGCGGAGCGCGGCCGGGATAGGCTGGGCGCCGCGGGGGGAGGAGGTGGGAGCGCCGCGGGGAGCGGCTCCTACTCAGGCGCGCGCGCCCCCTCCCTCCCCGGGCTGGGCGCTCATTGGCCGCGCGCGCCCGGGAGCCCCGGCGGCCGTCGGGCAGAGAACGTTCCCCGCGCGCCGCCCCCGCCCTTCCGCCGAGCGCCGCGCGCCCCCATTGGCTCGGCGGCTGCGCCAACCGCCGGCTCCGCCCCCCGCCCTCCCCCCGGCCCCTCTACTCCCCGATCTTGTTTGTAAACATTCCCGCCCGCCTCTCCCGCTGACCCCCGACCCCCGCGGGAGGGCGGGCGCTGGGCTGCCGAGAGGTAAGGGACGGGGCTGATTGACCACTGGAGCTGGCAATCACCTGAGGGAGGGGCCATGGCGCCCTTCCTCGCCTTACGGGCGGCTTCCATCGTACTCGAAGGGGGAGCGGCCGTGGGCTGACCCACTCGCAACGGAGGCCGGGGGGGAGCCGGGCTCCAGCCTAGCGCGGGGATGCGGAAGCGGGATGGGAAGCGGGGTATCCTCGCGGGGGGATGCGGCGGGGCAGGGAGCAGCGAGGCACGGCCGGGGACGGGGGGATTCCCGCAGAGCCCCGGCCGCCCGCCCGTTGAGTCCCTGCCGTCCCGCACGGGAGGCGCGGGCGGTGGGTGCGGACTCGCGGCGGCGGCTGCGGCACGCACACCGACAGGCCCGCCTGCAGCCCGCGGCCGTGCGCTCCGGTCACCGGGCTCAGGGGCCCACAACACGGGGGCGCGGGTGGCGCGGGCCCCGGTGCACCAGGGGTCCCGCCTGGTGCCGCCTTCCCCTCGGCCGGGGCCTGGAGCGGGCGGAGAGCGTAGTGGCCGCTTGGGAGGTGGAAGAGGCCGCCTGTACTGAAGTGAAAGCAGCCTCGGTGATCGCTGGAAGGGCGCACGGCCGGCAGGGTTCTCGCAGCTCAGGAGGTGCCTGGCAAGGGCTTGCTGGTCGCAAGATAGGAGTGGGCGAGCTTGCTGGGGCCGTACATCCATGTGCCCGGTTCACCTTGCCTTGCCTGGGCCGCGTTCATCTGGTCCCTTCAGCTGCCAGGGAGACACTGTCCTCTCAGAGGCATTGATAGTGTTGTTGGGGGAGATACGGTTGAAAACACATCAGACCTGTTCATCTCAGTTAAGCTGCTCAGTCTGTTACATGTCGGAGGCAAGCTGGTGTTTCTAAAGCTGTCCTCATTTCCTTGCAACAGATAACTCAAATGACTTTTCTCTCTATTTCTTATTTACGGTAATTTCTGACTTGTTGCTCTTGAATGCCACTGCTTCTATCCTTACACACAAGTTGCCAATTCACAATGCCATGTCTCAGCAGTAGTGTTCACACAGTCTAATTAAGTCACATCAAAGAGCAATGAAATAAAGTGTCTTATGTTAATCCATTATTCACACTCCAGTATTAAATGTTTGTGTGTTTGTACACATGTATGTAAAAAATGCATGCACATGTATCCGTTTCTACAGTTTCCTGTGGAGAGATTGAGTTTTGCTATTTAAAATCGGTGAGATTTTCTGCTTCGTAATTGTTTATATTCCAGACCTCAGGTTTAGGGTGCCTATGCAGTTGTCATCCCAGAAATTAATAATACTACCTAAGGGTTTCATAGTATTTTTGGTAAAACTTTTGAAGGTGTTTCCCACCAAGCACTGCACCTGTTCTGTTGAGGTATCTCAACCATACACCACAGGATGTATCGTACACACATAACTCCTCCAAAAATGTCCATCCAGTTACTGCCTTTCCACCAGTATTATATCAAGACTATAAAAAAGTCTGAACATGGGAGTTGTTTTCAAACTGGAAAATACTTGATTCCCTAACTTTTGTCACTTGTTTTTAGAAGCATTGCTATTGCAGAGAAAGTAAGTATTATATAAAAACCATAGTATTAAACAATAAAAGGGAAAATGGAAATACTGAACTGATTAAATTATTTATTAATTAACATTATTAAATTAATACGTTTTTGCATCTTTGTAACCGATGGCTCCTGTGTACATCTGGCGGGGACTGTGAGATTTACTTACTCATTACAAGGTGTAACAACCACTTCTGATTATTCCATCTCCCAGATACTAGATTTTAAAGAGCCTCGTGCTATATTTCATCCAGTGGCTCTACTAGCCTACTCTTGGACTAACTGTCCCTGGCAGCCTCAGAGGAGAGAAGCTGAAATCTGACTCCGTTTACCAGTACTCAATGTAAGAGGTGCTGGCATTGAGTCCAGTAGTTGTTAATAGTCTTGGTTTCAGATGTTCATAGCTTGACAGGCTGTATCTGCTTATTTGCCCCAGGCTGAAAATTTCTCTTTTCAGCTAAAACAGCTTTAAAAAATGACGCAATAACCCTAAAATACCAAACCAAGAATACTGATCCATGCTGACAATGCATATAATAAAACACAGTGATTATTGTGTATATTTCAGTTTAAGATGTCACTGGCCTTGCAAAGTACTACTGCATGAACTGAAAGTTCTTTATTACCACTGAAGGATCCCCTGATGTAGTTGAAACATGGTCACTCCAATAAAAAAAAAATTAAGATTTTTTTACATAACAGTTTCTCCAGTGTTAAAATGTTTTTGCAGTGGGATTCTTGTGTCATGTCCAGAAACAGCAAAGCAGCCCTGCTGAATGCTTGGAAAGAATCCCACCTTTTGACAGACAAAAGAGCTATACTTGCACTGAAATCCTAAACCTCCTGTCAGTAGTCCATGAGTGCAAGACTGTGCTCAAGTTTTCCTTTCAGCTGAATTTGGGAGCAGTAGAGGGTTAGACTTGGTTGTGTACTTGACATGAGAGTAGATCTACCTTGAGCAGAATGGTCCAGGCATAGTGGGCTGGTGACATTGCCTCCATCATACAGCAGTATCACGTGGCTTCGTGGGTGGCTTTAAAGGACAGAGTTCTGCCAGCCTTAAGGACAGATTGGAATTACAGATAAGTGGAAATATACAGGCTGCATCCATACCAGAAAATAAAACTGATTAGGACTTGTTCTGTAGGTGTCAGGGAAGTGGCATGACATAGCATGGTGCAGCTAAATTCTTTCCCCTTCAAAAGAGTGGCCTTTTTTTCACTGCCTCCTGCGTACCATTACTGAGCTGTGCTAGCCTCCAGCTTGGATGTACAAAGACATTGCTTGGAAAAAATACTGGCCAGGGACCCAACCATTCCTGGAAGCATGCCAGCAGTCAGAGGTATGGATAGTCAGGTGCCAGCACTGACTGGGCCTCTGTCCTGTTTAAGTCACTGCACTGTCACAGAGTCAGATGAGGGAGGAAATTTGGCTCAAGCCTGCAGCCAAAGCAGCATGAGAAAGTCCAGGAAGAGTGATGGGCTTAGACCAGAGAGAGTACAGACTGGTCTGTAAGAGTTTTTTTTTGTTAGTTTGGAGAAGTAAAACCACCATTGGTGTGTTAACTGTGCTTTTAGAAGTGCAGTTTAACTGACTGAAATTGTTACTTGCATTTAAATACATTTGTGTGTATGTTGCAACACCAAAAAAACCCTACTGTTTGTATGATGTGCGTACAATAAATTACCCTTCTGGTATAAAAGGAAAAATATTTGATATTTAAATACTTAAAAGCTATGGGGCAGTGCAGAGCTACTCATGATCCATATTGTCAATGGTTTTTTGTTTTTAAGCAGCATTTTCATATTCATGTGCACAACCCAACAGGTCAGTCAGCCAACAGTTCAGTGTTTGGGCTGAGCATGTGCTGCAAGTTTGGGAATACGGAGTAACACCATTCTAAAGATAGATGTCCCTCTCTACCCCACAACACAACTGTTCAAAAATATGTGTATTTACTTGTCATTCCTAATTGTGAAAAGAGGGAGGAAAAAAATGCTGTGGGAAATTCCCACATGGAAAGATATTATTGAGCTTCATTAAAGAAAAAGTGTCACAATATTTTATTTTTGGTTCTAAAAGAGGTGGTGTGCCAAGCTGGTTTGAGGGCTGAGGTGAAATGGAAATGCTCAGTGTACAGACGTCTGAGAGGAAATGAGAGAGAAAAACAAGAACATGAGTGCTAGAGCTGCATAATTCCAGGGTGCCGGGGCCTCACAGTTTTGAGGCATTTGATTTACTTTATTTCTGAAGGGGAGCTGCTTATGGAAATTGTAATTTCTATGGAGCTAAAGTTGAAGGTATTTGGTGCTTTCTTATGGTCATTGAATTGTTACAGAAATAGGTGTTATTTTCAAAGGACAAATTTCAGAAGGCTAGATGATACAAAATGTTCCCCTTGATCACTCCATGGAGAACATTTGCACAGCAGAAGAAAAAAACGATCAAATTTTGGAAACCACAAAATGAATTTTGGAAAGGACTCACTGTGAAAGACAAACTTGATATGAAACAACTTTTGTGAGAAATTTTAGTTTAGTATTAGTTCTACTTTTTAGTTTGCATATCTTCTCTGTGATTTTTATCTTTTGTTTAATCTGAACCTTTAATTGAACAGTCTGTGCTTGATAACTGTCAGAAAAGTAGACTGGGTAGGTATATTTGTTGTTAAAAGTATTTTTTATGAAACTGCTCTGGGCAACAGTTTTATCTCTCTAAAACCACTTAATGTTTTTACCATGAAAGGAGAAGTTATGCTAAGCATCCAAGTCTAATAATTCTCTAAACGGAAGTGGTACAACTCTGTCAGGAAGTGGATCATTTCTTGAAAGAGTGCATTTAAGCATTACTGCTTGCTTCTAGGGTCCTGTTTCAGTTAGTATTCATTTCTTCACTGAAAAGTGATTTTTTTTTTTTTTTCAACTACCATTATATTACAGGCAGCACTTTCAAAAGTTTAATTACTAAAAGTCTACCTGGTTATAAAAGAGGGGAAAAAATTGTCATGTCTCTCAGTTTCTGATGAGGAAGAGGAAAATGAATGAATGCTGTCAATAAAGGAAAGAAAGCAGCACTAGCCATTGACACAGAAATAGGAGTTTATTTCACTTTTTGAACTGTTAAAGCTTCTTAAGGTAGGCAAAAATAGAATTTCTGTTTAATAAATATAATTGACTTTTGAATCGTAATCCTTACTCTCAATAGTTTGAATTTTTTTCAGATTTGTTGGAGGAAACACAGTGAACTGTTCTACATAATGTTGTCATTAAACCTCAGTAATACTCCCTGAGTAAACTCTAAGTCCTTTTCAAAAGACCTGCATGTGAATTCTCACTATTTTGAAAATTTACTGTCAACTTTGGAGAAGGTGACTTTAGAAAGGAGAAGTTAATCAAGGTGATCTGAAAGCTAGTGATAATGAAATTAAAACTTATA